ATAAATGGGAACATGGAAGAAATGAGTGAACATATAGGTAAATCAGGCCACTAATTCTTCGTGCTCAATATTGAGGTATTTACCAACAGCATATACTTGTCTGAAACCAGTAGTGGAGAGGGGTTCATTAGAAAACTTTTTCAAAGAACAAGTCAAACAAGTATCCCACAAAGATGGATATGGCTTTACCATTGATTATACGAAGATGGCATTTAAAAAGGCAAATTATTTCTGAAAAGAGAAATTGAAAAATCCAGGATCCTTACAGATTGCTTCTAATTATTACATTCTCTTATCTTTATAAATAAAATGCAGAAGGAGGACTATGAAAATCATTAAGGTTTTTAGGTGACATTAAAGTCTCCNGTACAGATTGCTTCTAATTATTACATTCTCTTATCTTTATAAATAAAAGGAGGACTATGAAAATCATTAAGGTTTTTAGGTGACATTAAAGTCTCCAAGTCAGAAACACTTGGAATTAGATATCAAAAAGTTGGTTTGAATGCTTTTACATATGTATAAAAGTGCTCAAGAAAGGCAAATATTTATCCAATGTGCTCAATAAAGTCCTAAAAACTAAAATCATTTGGGAATGTGATTCGATCTGTTCATCACTTATGACATGATATTGGGGACTTAGGGAAGGCTCCTCCTTGGTTTTTGCACAATGGGTTCTGTGGTGAAGTTCTTGTTATAAGAGGTTAAGAGAATTGAGATGCATTCATNGTGACATGATGTTGGGGACTTAGGGAAGGCTCCTCCTTGGTTTTTGCACAATGGGGTTCTGTGGTGAAGTTCTTGTTATAAGAGGTTAAGAGAATTGAGATGCATTCATCTTACACATCCAGGAAACAAGGCAAAAGGTGATGGGACTCCAGGTCTGTGACGTTAGAAATTACCTNCATTCATCTTACACATCCAAGAAACAAGGCAAAAGGTGATGGGACTCCAGGTCTGTGACGTTAGAAATTACCTTTGAGATGAGTGAAATACACTTTAATATCTGGTAGAGTTTATCTTGTGGGTTGAAAATCCTTGTAGTTGTTTCTTGCCCAGTCATAAATTATTAAATTCTTGGGAGTTCACTGACTATGCTATTGTAGCCAAAATGGATGTAAAACTTGCCACCAAGGAGGACATTGGACACAAAACAAATAACTTACTTGTATCCTTATATAAGGCTTTTGTGTCCATACCTAGAATACTTGGCATTATTGATTTTCCCAGAAAGATTGGGGAGGGGAGATTGCTCAAGAGAAATACAACTAAAATTATCACTGAAATCTTACTATTGATTGAAAAGGAGATATTTAGTCTAATAGGAGAAGGGGGAAAGGATCCTGAATGACTTGTGCATGACCATGAGCAATGTGGGTAAGATGATTTTAAAAAAGGGCACTATATATTAAAACACAAGCACATGTCTTTGAAAATCCAGAGTGATAAATACTAGAAAATAGAGGAGAGTGCCAATACACAAAGAGAAAAATGCAATTTTAGAATACGTAGAAGTTGTATATAAAAAAAAGATGGATCAATGAAGGCTTTGCAGACTCTCACAAGGACTCAAGACATAAGATAATTCATGAATACAAGAGACAGTAAGTGTTTCTCCTGGCATATCTTTCAAAATGACAGAGGACCCTGGTCTGGGTGGATTTAATTAGAGAATTAGAGGTTCCTTTGTTCCAAATAAATTCATCCATTTTATGAAACATCAGCTAACGGTGCTGCTCAGAGTTAGAGTCTTAATATTTGTACTATCTACAAAATCAACGAGGAAGAGATTTTAGATCTGCTAAGATTCTAAAATTGTTGCTAAGTTTGTCACTGAGACACCTTCACGCCTGAGCATTTAGCAAAGTGAGGGCTGCGGCTTGTCCATAAATCACGACGCATCGCTAAGCCGCTGCTTGGTGGCCTCACTCACGAACATCGCTTTCAGTGCCGGCCAGAGCAGAAACACTACAAATTGGATTTCTAGGGCATGAATATTTGCTACTGTACATTGAACAGATATATGTTCAGAATTCTTGTTCCGAAGTGAACTTTGTAAAATAAAATACATCTCTCAAGTCCTGGTAAATTGATATCCCATCCACAGCGTGCACTGCAGTGGCTTGGTTGGTAAATCAATTTTAGAAAGCATCCCAAACTCCATATCATCTAACAATGGGGGATCTTTAAAAGGCCACGTGAGAGTCTCCTTCGGAAGATTCTCTTCGTCTTTGATACACCATCCTTAAGTCAGTCAATATTTGACATTGATATTTTTAGATATTGACATTTTTCTGAAAAGTTAAACAGAACAGCTTAGAGAGATTTATAAAAAAACCTGTCATTTGACTATTGTTCGCATCTTTTTTATCAGGCTTAACTCTGACAAAGTCATTCTTACTTCTAATTTTAAATTTGAAAGAAAATGAAGAGAGAAAAACCCTCAAGAAAATTTATCCAACAACAACCTGGTAGAGATAACAATGATTATTAACCACAGTTCTGATTTTACACGTGTCTATGAAGCNGAAGAGAAAAACCCTCAAGAAAATTTATCCAACAACAATCTGGTAGAAATAACAATGATTATTAACCACAGTTCTGATTTTACACGTGTCTATGAAGCACATGATTAGGTAGCCTGAATCTCTGCGGGGCCTTCCTGATGCCTGAACCACTTCTGAGGGTCTGAGCACTATTTACATCGTAGAGGAACAAAGGCATGTGGCGAGTGTCACTGCTCTGCCATGCGCTGGGGTTTAATATTCTTCTTACAGAGGGGTTCTGACAAAGTGTACGTTTAAGATGAGAAAAGTAAAGCGATTCAGTAAAATAAAATAAAAAAGTCAGGTGTAGTGAAGGAGAAATAGAAAGTACAGTTTTACGATCAAGTATATTTAGGACTAAATCCTAGTTTGTGCTCTGGCACCACCAGTTTCTAGTTATGTGAGCCTGGGTAGGCCGAGGTGAGTGTCAAGCCTCTGGTTCATGGAGATGTTAACATAGAAACTCCAGAGTTTATAGAATGCAAGGCAACTGTGTGTGTGTGCGCGCGCTTACAAATGTGATGTGCAGTTGGTGTTCAGTAGCTGCTAGTTTCCTCAATATTGGTATAAGTAGATGCACATTTTTCCAAATTTGATTCTGAGCGTAACTTATCATGGTGTTCATGCCCAATGTCACTGTATTCGACTCTTTCAACTGGAATTGTGATGATCCCTCCCCAAGTCTTTTCTCCCCCCACTGCTTGCGCCTGCCAGCTGACCCTGAAGCTGCTGCCTCCCCAGGGCTCTGCAGGCCTCTAAGTGTCTGGGGAAGCCAGCACTGGAATCACCTCCTTGCTGCACGCCTGGTTCCCTATCCCTTCCTCTCTGCCCACCCAGCATATGCTGTCTCCCCAGAAATGTGGAGGCTGAGGTCATTTTGAGGGGAGGTAGGGATGGAAATAGCCTCCTCCCCTCAGTTCTAGAAGCCCTAGTAATTCTGCAGCACTTTAAATAACCATCCCAAAATTCGCCCTTGCTTTGTGTCCAGCAAAGATAAGCATGGTGGCTGCCAGGGCCCATAGGACAGGCCCCTGTCTCTAAAGTGCTTGGAGCCACTTGGAAATGCAGGTAGACCCACAGGGCAAAGAAGTGAACCGGCCTCAAGCCAGCAGTTCAGGAGCCTGAGCCGCACCCCCATTCAGAGGACGCGATGAAAGCAGACTACTGGTTCTAAAAAATACGAAGCTCATGGGTTTTTAAAAAATTAAGGCAAACTATCTCAAAAATGCAACTGAATCTGAAAAACAGTTCGTTCTGACTGAAAACTCCAAAGGAAATAAACAGTCCCATATCTACTTGTCCCTCTAAAGTCAACATAAATCCGTAAAATTGTTCCTTAAAATGGATGGTGTGTTTAATTTTTATTTCAAACCCAAAACAAAACAAAAGCTGTAAAAATGTATGGGGGCTTCAAAATTGAGAAAACAGTAGAATAGTTTCCAAAAGTTTATTTTTTTAATGAAGAAATCCATGCTCTCCATGAGTATTAAAACCTAATGTTACTAGTAACTGAATAAAGATGGTGATAATACTCTCAAATTCAGTCTGCCATGACTAATCCTAGTCCTCAACTTACCATTATTTTCAGTTAGAAATAGTGATGGGTGGGCAACCAAGAAATAACAAAGAATAAAGAGCAGGTTTTCCCCATGAAAGTGGGGATGGCACAAGAAAACCCATGTGGAAAGCCGCGGCAGTTAGGAATTGCGCTTGGCAGGGATGAGCGGGGAAGGAACTAGGGGGTTAAGAAAGGGAAGATAATACCATCAATCGCCAAATCTTCACAATTCATGTATATTTAGGGAAAAACTCACACTTGGGGATGCTCTAAACTAAAGCAGTGTTTTGCTCAGTGTGTGGGTGTCTGAGGCCTCCGCACCCCTCCTCACCTCAAGGTTGGGGACTTACAGTGCGGGGCCCCTGTTTGGGCCTGTTCTTTAATTCCAAGCTGAAGATTATTTATAAAGACAGAATGATTTTAAATTTTATATTTGTTTTGCATTTTTAACCCTTTCCATTGTTTTCTAACCTTAGATAAACGCCATTGGGCACAGTGGCTCCAACGTGAGATGAGACTGCAGGGTCTCATGCCAAGAGTCACAAACTGGGTAGCGCTGGTCCAGCTGCATAACTGAGCTAACGGGGTCACATTCTCACTCACAACTGACTCTGGTGGTGTATTTCTGTTTTTATAGATGAAAGAAGTGAGACTCTGTCAGTGGATTGCCCTGTTCCCAGAACAGCAGGAAAACCCTGAACTTGCAGGAGACATCTCAATGGTCCAGGAACCAGAGCCACGCTGCAGATGGGCTTAGACGTAGTCTAATCATGTCCGAATGAGCACTCAACAGCTGGTAAGCTACCCGCAGCCCGGGCGCAGAAAGCAGCAGAAAAGATACTAGTTGCCATCGTCACATCTCAGTTTCACTTATCTGAAGAGGAAAGACATCCTACCCAGATGCTGTCTTCTTGCTGGTACTGTTTCCAGTTGTGTCCTGTGTCGCTGAACATGAGGCTGTAGCTGGTCACCCAGTCGGAGCTCCCGTATCTCCCCTGCGTGGCCACGGCCGTAATCTCCACTCTGCCCCCCAGGTCCATCTGCAGCCACTGCTGAGCGTTGGAGTCTTCCGGGGACCAACCGCCGGCTCCTAGAGGGGGATCAGACAGGGGTGGTAACATCGCACACGGCCACCAGGTGATGCCCAGAGGACGGACGCGGGCTCAGCCAGGGGCTCTGTGCCCCGCTCTGCCCTGGCTCTGCGCCTAAGCCCCCGATAAGTTCCTGGTCCAACCGCCGGCCTCCCCTCCACCGAGTTTGCTTTCCTGGTTTAAGATCCACCCCAAACGCTGCTTCCCCCAGGACTCCCTCTCTCTGTCCCGTCATCACAGCTTCCATCTTCTGCATGCTTAGTGGAATTTGTTTACAGCCTTCACTGTTAACATGTTTTACATCCCCTGCCTCACTAATATCTCCTTCCCTCCCCCTTGTTTTCTTTGTCCTTCATCCCTCCTTCCCCTTTCCCTGCTTCTCTCTCTCCAAACACTTCTTGTTGGGCATCAGCGTTTTGCTGTGGATACAGAGAGGAAAAATCACTGGCTCTGCCTTTGAGAGGTTCCTGCTCGTTCATCCAGCAGATGTTCACTGAGCACCAGGGACACACTGGGTGCTGAGGAAGGACATGTGCAAAGAAAAGTGTGCAAAGGAATGTGTAAGGAAGTGTCACAAGAGGTAAGCGCAGGTACAGTAGGACCAGAGACAGACCGAAGGGGCAGGTGATCAGGAAGCCTAAAGACAGTGTGCGGAGCTGCAGCCGAAACAGGTGGGGCTACTGTCCAGGCAGGGAGGCGGGGTGAGGAAGCACTGGAGAGATCAGCCAGGGCCAAGGGGCCAGCCGTGCACACCTCAGGGGAGCAGGAGGGCGCCACTCTCCTGGACCTGCCAGTGTGCTGGACGTACAGGGTCATCCCAACATGGAACCAAAGCCTTGGCCCCCAACTTCCAGCACCTTGCTCAAGGCATTGGGTCTGGGAGGTAATTGAATTTTTATTTAGAGGGAATTTTGTTTCAACCTATGTCACTGAAAATAATTTTAGTGATTCCAGAGTCTACTTTCTTGCTATCTTTGGACAAATCGATTGGACTTCTCCTTGGTAACTGAGAAGCCTGAGCCCAGCCCCCACTGCAGAGAGAGCCTCTGGTCATGTGGGAGTGGACATGTGGACAGAGGGATGGACAGCACGCGGCAGGCCTGCCCTGGCCCAGGCCCATCCTGCTAGTGCACGGCGGGGTTCTCTCAGTAAACAGCTCCTGCTCTGAAGCTTTGGTTTGATGAAATGTTTTCCACTTCCCTGAGAAGATTCAGATGCAGGAAAGAAACAAAGACTGTGCGCAGCACCTGCTGTGGCCTGTAGTTTTAAATGTCCTGCAGGACACAAGTGCAGGGGCAGATGGAGCCGGCGCTTGCTAAGCTGTGCTCTCCTCCTCTGCAGCAGTAACACTGAGCGTGCCTGGGTAATCGCAGGTTTCAGCTCTCCCGCTACTAGAGACATGGCCACACAGACAAGTCCTCTCTGAAAAATGTGAGGGGAGCCCTGGCCGGGCGGCTCAGCTGGTTGAGTGCCACCCCAGGCACCAAAAGCCTGCAGGCTCAATCCCTGGTCAGGGTGCGCCTGGGAAGCAACCAGTCAATGTTTCTCTCTCACATCAATGATTATTTTTTCTTTCTTTCCCTTCCTTTCTCTCTAAAATCAACAAAAACATATCCTTGAGAGGATTAAAAAGAAAAGAAAAAATGTGAGTGGAAGAAAGGTGTGCTCTGTGCTGGCCTTTGGGCCTCTTTCCTATGCCCTCTCCCACCCACTGCTGATGAACAGCCTGCAACAGGGTCCGAGCTGTGGAAGAGCCACAGCAGGAAACACCCTGAGCCCCTGCCCCGGCACCGGAGGAAAACCTGTCTACCCGAACACCTGCCCTCACCTGTAACACCCGTCATATGGATGAGCCCTCGGTGGCCCTTGTGTTTAGGCCGCTGCACACTGGGGCCTGAGACACTGCAGGGTAGCTACCTTAGCACACACAACGCCCCGTGACGCAGCAGCCACTTCCCGCAGTGTAGCTGAGGAACCTGAGGTCCAGGGCGCTTAGAACACCTGGTGCTCAGGGTTCAAGCAGAGCTATTCAAGGCCATGTGCGACAGGAGGAAAAAAGTTCTGAAAACCTAGGAAATGAATAAGACGGAGAGGCGATGGGAGGAGGCTTTTGAGGAACGAGATCCACACGTACAAATTTATCAGTGAGCTCTGTCCTCACCTCTGTGTGCACATACATGCTTATCACTGAGCTCTCCTCACCCCCATGTGCACATACATGCTTATCACTGAGCTCTCCTCACCCCCATGTGCACATACATGCTTATCACTGAGCTCTCCTCACCCCCATGTGCACATGTGTATTTATCACTGAGCTCCGTCTTCACCTAGGTGAGCAGGGTATCACCTTCACACCCCAAGTCCTCAAAACTGGCAGGAATGTTCAAAAAGAAGATTTTACATTTGCAAGAAATGTAAAATCACCCTGCACCTCCTCTTTATTTCCACTTCATCTTTCCATTCCAAGAGGCCTCTTTCTTCTTAAGAGAAAAAAACCCAAGTTGTATGAACTCCACGATAGCAACAGTATTAAAGCTTGCTAGAGAGAAACCTGAGTGGTGAGTTCTGAGCGGAAGGGTGCTCCTTCTAAGTGACTTCTATGCGTTTCGCACTGAACCTATTCTCTATGATCAGCTGGTCCTTCTTTCATAAACTGAGATCTCATTAGTCATATTTATATGGTTTATTGCACAGAATGTGTATAGCAACTCGACAGCTGGTGGTATGATACATGACTGTGACTTTTTGTAAGACTCCTCAAACTTTAACTATTTCTCTTTTACCCCCAGGAATCCACAACTGGGCTTCCTCGTCATGGTTTAGAGTTTTTCCCTGATTTATTCTCATTATTCTCCTCATATGCACATATGATAAGAATTATGTTGAGGATGAAACAAAAAAAATGACAAGGAATTCACCCCATTACCTTGAAAGTATAAAATCACAAAAGACTGACCAAAGGCAAACAAACAGAGGGGGAATTAATGCTAAAACAAAGAGTTCTTCAAATTTGTCTAGAGAAAAAAAAATGACATCTCCCTTTTGCCCGCAGTAAAAACCTTAATTTATTAATCCCCTGAAATTAAGCAGATGGAAGTGTTGCTGTTAGCACTCATTAGCACATCAAGGATGATCCCAGCCCAGGAGCCTCAGCCCTAGCTACTGAGAAGAGGAAAGCTCTCGGTGACAACTGCCAGGGACCCTCCCTGCCTCGAAGGAGCTCCCTGCACCTAGGCAATGGGCCGGGTACCCAGGGTAGCCGTGGTTGCTATGGCAAACATTTTGTTCTTTCTACAGAACAAAAAACGTGTTCCCAAGTGATGAGAGTAGCCTGAAGATACTATTTGCAGTTCCTCTAAAGACACCCTGTACCCATGCTCGCTTTCTGTCTGAACCATTGTCTAAATTGGAGGTGCAGGACACAGATACCTGTGTCTGGCAAGTTACAGGTGCTAACTAAGACAGTGCTGATGGTAATTGTGGCTGTGGTATCAGTGATTATTAACTGCAATTTCCATAAATCCCATGGCTTAAACTTAGAGGAATTTAGTGGAAATTTCAAGAATCATTTTAATTTTGAAAGAAAAAATAACCTCACCTTAGATGTCAGCAGCATCAGAGCTTTTCCTTAGTTCTCAAGCGTGGGATGCTGAATGATGTGGAGGTCCTATCTAGGACATTGCTAGCTCGCCCCAAGCCTCATACTCTGCAACTACATGATCGGACTTCAGGGGAAAAGATGGAGGGAGATGAACTGAAAATGAGACCTGGTTCCAGACCCAGCTATACCCCAGCCAGTAGATGAGATGAGAGATTCTCAAATGTGCTCAACATCAGAAACACCTGGAGAGCTCGTGAAGGGCACACGAGCAAACTCCTTGACCTAACCCTTGATATATGGTTCAGGAGCCTAATTTGGGAACCTGTATTTTTAGAAAGGTGCGCAAGACATGCCAAGTGGCTTGGGAAATTGGGAAATACAGGATGAGATGGCTTCTGAGGTTTCAGTTCCAGTATTTGACTGATAAGAGCTTCATTATTTATATATTTAAAGATCCAAATTAATTCAATACAAAATACTAGTTTTGATTATTAAAAACAAGCAAAAATAACAATATGAAATTTCTTCTGGATCTAAAGATGGACACTCTGCTCCAGTTTGATTCCTAACCCCCAAACTCAACATGGATGGTTAATTAATGTCAGAATTATAATTGCCAAGGACACCTGAAAATTCATGAATTCAGAAATACCCATCTTTCCTCCTGCTTAGGCAGTTCTTTTCACTCCCAGTTAGCCCTTGGCTCCTTCTCACCACCTCCCTTCCACACACCCTGGGAGAGTCCACTCAGTGCTTGGCACTGCCTTAGCTCCTGGGCAGCATCCCAGTAGCTCTGCCTGATGGGTATTATTATTATCCCATTTCACAGGTGAGGAAACTGAGGCCAGAGTGATTGGGCAGGTTTTCTAAGATCACACAACTAGTAAGTGGTGGAGTAGGGGGGATTCAAACACAGAAAACCAGGAGCCAGGAACCCAAGCTCCTAACCATTCATCTGCACAGCCTCTGGGCAGCAAGGACAGGCACTTTCTTGCTGCCCCTCCTCTGTTCTCTTCTTACAATTCTCACGAGAATCACAATGCACACTGCAGACTTTTTACTGTCTCCCTTGATTCTCATAGCAATCAGCAATAGTATTTTTAATTTTTATTCACCAGAGAATCTAGCAGCCACAAGGAACCAACTAGCCCATCCAGGTTATATGGTGAGAGACTAGTTTCCAGCCCAGTTTTAATCTCTTGTCTCTGCCTGAAGTTTTAATCAGGAACCAATGTCTTAAACAAACAGAAAATGGCTCACATGGAGAATTCTAAGAAAAGTTTAAAGAACATGAGACCCAGGTTTCTGATGCTCAGTTCTCTGCTCCGCCCTCTACACCACAGTGCTCATTCCCAACTTCACATGCTAGGGGAGCCTCTAAGCATGAAACAAAATAAC